TTTTCACTTTTTTGAGATATTTTCTTTCTTTCATTCATTTAAAGACATATGATACATGTACAAGTACATTTGTAAATGATACACTATAATATATATGTATAATGTAGTCGTGGTGTAAATGACATGTCACAAAGGGTATCTTTTCTATTCACTTACGTTAATCTGGGACGACAAAAATATTTTTGTCCCAGATTAAACATATGATATAAAACAGAATCTTTCTATTTGAAAGACCATGTATAAAACACTGAACTATGTGGCATTAAATAATAATAATTAATAAGCATAAACAGAGACATAGATATGTCTCTGGCAAAAATTTATAATGAAAAAAATATTACCAAAATTGTTTAAATTTAAGTAATTTTATGTCTCCATATACAGGGCTCACGCTGTCGGTCGCCATAGTCGCCATTTGCGATTATTTTATAAGATTGGCGATTATTTTTGCATTTTGGCTACAAAATCTGGCGATTATTTTTTACTTCCAACAGTGTTTATATAAGGTGTAAAAATCGATAATGAATGCAGTAGACCCAATTAACACCAGCGGGGTGCATTTAATTGAGTGTCAACTTTTTACCGGTCACGTGCTGCTAACTATATTGCCCGAGGTGAAAAAATACATGCGAGATGTATAATTGTATAAGTACTTTAAAGATATTGTCCAGCATTTATAATAGCCATCAAATATCCGTCAATGAGCCGTAAAAATCGTTTTAAAATTGATAAACTGGATATTGACTTACCCAAAATTTACCGTGAATTGCAGTAATTGCAAATTTTGATTTTTTTGTTTTAAGCTACTTGACTAAATCGCCAGTGGAAAACAATGGTAAAATATTTAAAAAGTATTAACTTCCAAACAACTATTATTTGCACAACAACCAAAATTGTGAATATTTCTTCAGAAAAAAAGGAAAAATCCGATTGTCACATATTTTCGCGACACCGATAATTTTGATATTTATCTAAAGGTGAAATAAGCTATGTTCTGTTTAAAAATCTTTACTACTATGGCAGAAAATTTGTATTACATTGGTGATGATGACATTTTTCAGTAAATTATTCAGAAAAAAGGCTGCATTCTGTGAATGAGTTTGCAAACTTGTGTTATTTCTATAGGCTAATATGACCTAGTTCTACTCCAGTTCTGTGTGAAATGTGGAAATTGACAGTGGTTATAGCTGACAAAATTTGATTAGAACAAACAAAAAAAGTTGTCTGATAACAGCATTATGTAAAGTTATAATGAATCTTTAATATTATTGTTATACAGTAATTATACTAATTATAGCGTTTTTATTCTGTTCTATAATAACAATTAAAGTTGTGGTTCTATTTAAAAAAGGTAGTTATCAATATACACAAATGTATCAATTTATTTGAGAATCCTTATAAAACTTAAATTTTTTTATATGTTATGTTTATTTAATCAACTGCTTATGTTGTTAATCGCTAATTCGTGAATAGTCCGCTGAACTTTTGGCTATTATTTTTTTAAGTTCAAATTATTGGCTATTATTTTATTTGAGCCAGTGTGAGCCCTGCATATATCAATTGTTCGTTATTAAAAATGATATCAAATTATTATTAATAGTACACTTAAACCAAAATTTAAGAAACAAATGTCCATTTCGTAGTCGAAAAGTTCATTTTGCGAAATGGAGTCCATACTACCGGTCAGGAAATAAAACTTGAACATTATAATTGTCAAGTTCAGGGTCTTTCCAATATAATTTGAAAGACACTTTCAATGCTGAAACTTCATTTGTAGAATAGTTTATGTTTTAAATATCCAACACTGCAAATTTTATATTTTGCTTCAAATAAATAATCGGAAAATTAATTGATTTTTGACTGATTAGCCTAACAGTTGTTTATGTGTGTGTTATGACTACTGTAACAGACTGTTAAAACTATCTGTCATCTCATTAAAAAAAGATAGTTTGCAACGAAAGATGCTTACAAATATATCTTACGCGTTATTCGCGTAGAAATCATGTATGATTTTCATTACCTCTTGAAATATTCTTAAAATCCTGTTTCTGTTTTGTTGAAATTACTTCCTCTTTCTATCGTCAAAGATATTAACCAAAGTCATCCGATTAGTTATTTACCTGGTTCCCAATCATATGGTACTCATTTATAACGATTCGTCCCACAGACAACTCGCTCCATAACGACTCACACCACATTACTGAAGATTCATCCTATAATACAGTACATCAAATGTTTTTAATTCATTTGGTTTGAAAATTATTTATTGTTTGGGTATTTCTTTTGCATTATATTTGGTATACTGTTTATAGATACTATTTGATTTAGAGGTAGAATAAGTAAAATATCAGTTTAACAGAACTAACAAGTACTAATCTCATTTATATATTTTTTATTTAGCTTTTATAGTTATAATTAATAAATGTTATTAATGTTATAAATATATGGATAATTGTTTCATTTACATATAATTATTCGTTACGTAAAGCAGATTGTGATTTCGTTTGACTAAGGCATGTGCCTTCTATATTTATATCTAAAGAAGGTTTGGATTTTATTATATTTTCTCACCCAATTACCATATACAAGTGGTCTCTTTTGGACTTATTGCCATGTTGTTAAAGTTTACACCATTTTATTACACCATAATTTTATCTTATGTAACAATATATCATGATCTGCCTAATCAAATGCCTCCTAGCTTTAGGTCTGAAAATACTGTGTCTTTCATGCAGACAACCAATATCTAAATCATTAAGGAAGGATTCTATGCGTCGTATTAGAGCTGTTTGACAAGAATGATTTTTTTTCTAACTTTCATGAATAATATTAGTTTGGTATATATAACTGTGTAAGTGAGATGCAATATGCTTTTCAAATTTTTTTATATGGTTGGCAAAATACGTCTACAATTATTTGAATCTTCTTTTGGACCATTTTTTTTGTAAATTGAAAGTACATTTGTTTCTTTAAGTTCATCAGGAAAAATGCCAATTTTAATGGAATAACTATTGCCATTTTTAAATAAATTACAAGAGGCATTTCTTGACATGTCGGCATAATATATATCATGCAATATATATATATCATAAAATCATAATAATATATATCAGACGCATGATTGATATATTTCTTGTAAATCTTATAAAGAGTTATTTTATCTAAAGATATTTATTCACACCTTTTCGATTATTCGTGTAGTGCGTATGCATAATGATAGTTTTGGTAAGTTTAATAAAAGTAAAAACAGAATCCCCAAAGAACACACAAAACGGCAAAACTGAAAATGCTGCAGGCTCGGTTCGATTGAGCCTGTTCATGGACGGTAGTGGGAAAGGTTTACTAGGTAAAGCACGAGCTACCATTCACGTTTCCTTGTATGAAAATGGTGAAATTTTCAATTTAGAAACATTAATTTTAGCAGATGTGTTCATATATTGCGGTTATCACGAAATGTTCAATGTGACGCGCCTACAGGTACTTTCCGCCGAAAAGCGGTGCTTGGTCCCAAAATAAAAGAATGTGTTTTACTTTCAATATGCCATTCATGATTGGACCAAATGATTTATGGGGCCAAACAGACAAAAGTCATATAACAGGACAGTGAATAGCATATACATCTTCATACTATCTATAATAATACAATTTTGTATAAGCGAAATAGGTAGGAGTAAATTAAAGTTTATGTATTTATCAACAATATCTATCAAAAACAAATTACATGTATATTCAACTGCAAACATATATTGAATACATTATAGTTACCACTGTCGAGCAATTTTTTAATTAAGGAATGGTAGTCTTAATACATTGCATTGACTATGACTGTCAAAATGTGTAAATGTGTACTATTAATTAATACACGTTTGCAGGACTTTTTACAGCTTTTGGAGAAGTGTGCTTGTTAGTCTCTGTATGCTTCAAAATTTTTAATACATCATAAAAGGGAAAATACTCAGTATGTATCAACTTAAGTTTCATCAGCGAATTGTTTCCCTTTTATGTTTCCGTAATTAAATTTATTGCATGTACTTCACGCTTATAATTTGTTTTGTTCTTCAATATAATTATTTGATCCCGAATTTTTGAATTTAAACAAAACATCAATGGTTCTAAAAGTTTCTTAGTGTATCATTTTCTTTAACTTCGTATAAGGTTTGCTGTCACTAAACAGTAAAGGTAATTATAAATTGTCGTTACATCGAGAACAGAATGAATAGAATGAATGTTTTCTTTTGTGACGGCTCCTGATATAATCATAATTGCCACAAATTATAGTGATCTGGCCTGTTTTAAAATTTGGTAGAGCATGTAACATATTTACAATTGAATTTTTCTATTTACATGTATATGAAACGATGACACTATAAAAATATAGAACATATATAGTAAGTTATTATGTTCGTCAGATGCTGTATTTTACATAATTTGTTTTTTTATCTCGCTCATTTATTGAAATACTAGTTTAAATATGATGTTAATGATTTACAAACATCAAACGTTTAATCAATTTCATGCACTAAATCAGTTGTTTGGTGGTTATATTCAAAGTTAACGTCTATGAGCACATTGAGATTGACTATTTAACTATAAAAACCCACAAAAGATGAAAGTGTTGTAATTTAATAACAAAATTTGAATATCAAAACGACAGTGGAGTAAATTTAAAGTTTAACACTTTCTACCTTTTTTCTAACTTTTTGTAATAGAACAAAATTAACAAAAGTATTTCAGAATGACAAGAAGGGGGGGTGGGGTCTCGCACTAACACAGAATATGACATGGCAACTTTCCAGCTTTTACTGGTGGAGGAAGACTTCAGGTGCCATTCCGTGCATTATTTCAGGCAAAAAACGGGCACCCTGTCGGGATTCGAACCTACAGCGGTGAGTTACAAGTAGATTGAAGTCAATGGCCATGCGCGACCCCTGCATCACATACGAATTCCGTATTATAATAACGATAATGATAAACGTATACATTTTAATTGTAAAACAACGTAATTGTTTTTTTCTTTTTATTTGATACTATCTTTGAGTTCCTGCACTACAATTTCTCTACATATTAATACAAAATATACCGGTATTGTTTAAACGTATTTATCTGTGTAAAAGTGCGTAACTTAACATTATTTATAGATACTTCTTAATTTTGACTTTGTATTTATTTACACCGAAACACTAACGTCAAGGATACTTTTTCTTACTAAAAACACCCATTATTCCATTCTCACGGAATTCTGTTCGGTTTTAATCCTTACTGCATTAAATTAAATGTCAAAGGATAAAATTTTAATGTTATCATAGCAAAATTCATAGCAAAATATAAAGTCTTTACACAGAGGGATAATGTTTTTCTTTCTTTAAAATTCTGATGCTGTCAAACATTATTACATTATGAAATACCTAATTCTAAAAGAAACGCGATAAAAGAACTAAAACTCGATTAAAACCACAGGATAAACATGTATGTACAAATTTATGAGGCACAATTTTCTCTAAGTTAAGTTTGACTGTTATACGTTTGTCTGTGCACATTTCAACATAATATTGTGTATTTGATATAATATTTTACATGTAGTTTGCAAATCGACTTAGATTGAAAATATCAAGTGTTGTCACGTTATAATCTGAATATGCATACGCTAAGACACATGCTTTTTCAAACTATTCGCTTTCTATGTTTCTATATGATGTCCTTGAATACGGTTAGTTTGTATGTTCGTCTGTCTAAATAGTTTGGAAAACAATAACATTTTCATTAAACGATACTCTTGTAGATGGACGTTCAACATCTTCCCTGGTCAATGCTTCCTTTCCTGCTTGTTTCGTCAATAATTCCATTTCGGCATTCTTTTGCTGAATCTTTTTCCTATTTTTGGCTCGAGTCTCCATTCGTTTTTTCATTTTTGGTGTTGTCCTTGAATAGTTGTCGTAATTAAATTTCATAGCCTTTGATGATTTTGGCCACCAATGATGTTCACTCAGATTGTGAGAAGATTTAATCTTTGACAGGCTCTCAGCTATGGAAGGTGTCATACCATCGTTGTCTGACTTAATGTTATCCTGTTTATCAAGAGGTTTGTAAGAATTATCCTCATTATTTTGTTCAACAGACGGTTTCGTTTCTAGTAGCAAAGGCTTTAGTCCTTCTTTACGTGTTTTGTTTGCAATTCTGACACGGTTTATCATGTCCATATCCCTGTCCTGTGACAAAGCGGAAGTGTCAAATACCTTCACAGGTCCTGCCTTTACTCTTCCTTCACTAGTTGTAGGTCGCTCTATTTTTTTCGAAGCAATATTCGGTGTTATTGGTAATCGCCGCTTTATCTTTTGAGATATGTTTACTTTGGCGTCGTCCTCAACTATATCTTCATTGCTGCGTTTTTTTCTCTCTAGTTCAATCCGTTCCGCCGCGGTCAATAAAGCATTTTCAAGACAACGATCAGCTTCAGGGACCTCTTTATAAGAAGAGGTGCGTGAAACAGATGGAAATTTCTCGCTGTCTGTCCGATGAAGTGTTGATGTGCCACCGTGTGAAGTTGAAGGTCTTGTTGTGTGCATATATCTATTGCGACTTGTTGCAACCGGCGATCCGACCCGAGGCTGAGGCGATAATTGCCGCACAATCATTGTCTGGTTCTCTTCTTGTTCACGCATTTCGATTTCATCCTCCTTTTTCCGCTTATACTGTTGAAAGTCTCTGAGAATAGCCGAAGTAGGTCGAGATATATCAAAGACAGGAACTGGATTTTTAGCCAGTGCAGATTTGTTATGCTCTTTTGCAAGCTCGTTTACTTCTTTCCGCATTGAAATATTATTCCATGTGTTCATTACATCTGTCGCTTCCTTTTTCATCAGTTTCCTAAGTTGAATGTCATTCTTACTCCCAAGATAAACCGTCGACGGCCGTGAAGGTGTCTTTGGTAAAACCCTTCGCCAACCGTCTTTTTCCCCATCTGATAATTTCTGAGTTTTGGAATTTGGAGTTGTTGGCAATATTCGACGTTTTTCAAAATTTTCCTTTTCTTTCTGTCGCATTAAAAGCAAATTCTGACCCATATTAAAAGAAACGAGGTTTTTCTTTGTTACCGATTCATCGTTGTCACTTTCTGCGTCAAGTCCCGCTGGTGGTGCTGTTATCGTACTTAATCTGTCATCGTCTGATTTCTTGTATTCAAATTTCACATGTATTCCCATGGCGTCTTCAATATTTGGAAATGATGTGGCTATTTTAGTTTCGTGATTATTGTCCTTTGTATCAGATGTACGCTCAAGGTAAGATGTTTCACCCATCATATTTACTCTAGGTGACATGCCATCTTTAGAGCTATCTTGCTTGGACAGAGGTGGAAACTTCACTTTAAGCTCGTCTTTGTATATTTCTATCTGACGAAGTGATCCTAATGGTCTGACATCAACTGCTTTTGCAGATTTTCTTCTTTCCATTTCGTAGAATTCTGGCTTATCCGAAACTGGACGTGGCTTCTTTTGTTGCTGAGACTTGTAATGTCTTTTAAAACTTTGATTTTTGTAAACATACTGGTAGGCTAATTGAGCTGTAAAATCCTCACGCAATACTTTAATGTCTTTTTCCGCTTTCTCTTTGGTAGATTTTTCCTGCTCTATTAAGTGTTTAATTTCTCCGACATGCTTTAAATGCAAGTGATCATTTTTTATCTTTGTGTTGAGTAATGAAGTATTTGACATTTGCATCAATGCATGATATTGAGGCTCTAGTCCATGGTAACCACGATATGCCGAAGCCAGTTGACGTTTGGACATTTTCGAATCGTTTGTTATGTTTCTGAAAGGGTAAAAGAAATCTTTACAATTAGAAATATGCAAATTATGTTTTGATGTCTATGCATACACACTCTGAAAATTGCTGAACATTATGATTTTTATAATACGTCATAAATGTATAGATATAGAAATACATGATTTTATATAAAACAGAGGCAAACGATGTTTTGTGATTAATCTGTGCAATAGTCAATATATAAATATACAGTATCTTTTCCGGTGTTAGGCTTCTATCAATGTTGTACTTAACCTTTTTCGGGCTTCCAATCTTCTGTAGACGACTTGTATGTCAACCTCCTTTAGTGTGTTTTGCATATCCGACATCATCATGCTGAGCAGGTCCTTTAAAATAACACGTGCGATGTTTATAGAATGGTAATCAGTCACTATAGTTTACTGTATTAAAGCCATTAAGTTATACGTCCAAAGGATTGAATTAACGTCTTAAATATTTCACATTTTTATTATATTGAACAATGATATAAAACCAATTGTATTCCATGCATATGTTTTTACTTCATCTACTATCTGCGCAATACAAACACTTTATATTTTCAAAATGTTTCAATGTTTTCTTTCAACTACAGAGAAAAATTGTAATTAAAGCTTTGAAAGAAAACCAAGAGTGATTACAGGTCCGCCGTCACTTAAAGGATTTAAATCTTAGTGTACCTATTGTTACTTCACGCAATTTACATTTTTAAAGATTGAGAGAATAACGAAATTGCTTTCTTTTGGTTATTATTGGTACCGAGCATGAAACAACGATAATTACATTTATTTACCTGCAATTATTTACACGATAATGAAAAACTTGAAAAGTGTGTTTTTGTTTCTTGTTAAAAAAATAAAATAATTTGTGGGTAAAACAATATCTTTAAATCTGTATTTCAAACGAATAATTATTATTACAATGGCAATGACGATAACAGGATATATAATTAGTATAATTACAAATTAAGCTGAAATTCTAGTATAATAGAAAACACTTTCGGTTAACTAACAGGTGAGTGGATACACATGTCAACAAACATATATTTTCTTTTGGCGTTGTATTTAAAAAGATAGATTCCCTTAATACTTATGGTTCCTAATCATAACGCAGCAGGTTACAACATTTCCAAATAATGGTTTGATCAAAATTGATTTTCCTTTTTTTTGACATTTTGTTTATGATCATTACAGATTTACTTATTATTATTATTTAAATGAACTTTGTCGTAAAATTGAAAAAAAACAACAATGTTTGATAAAAACTGACACACATGACAAAAACATCTAAATTTAGAATAGGCTAATCCATTACACTGACTGAATAGGAAAACTGTTACTGAATAATTCATTTTCTAGACTAAGGAACGCGTTGATCAGTCTCGGACTGAAAGATACCAGAATGGAAAAATGGAAGCGCGTCAATTAAATCTGTCGACAAAGTAGTTACATATTGCAACATTTAGAATGATACTATGGTACCTCAATACAAAAAGTACATTTAAACCAATGTCGTTCAATATCACCGACTTAATCAAGCAAGTAAGCTGGAACCAAATGTGTTTAGCCTTTGCTCACTCTTTAACTCTGATCAGGCTAGACGTTACTTTATTTTTTCCATCTTTGACTGTTGCAAAAAGGCAGCTGAACAAGGGTTTATAATGGAGGTAAAAATCATGAATTTGTTTTATATTTTTGTCATGTTGTTAAAAATAGATGCCATTGTATGTAATATGCATGCATCACAGACATTCTCTTCATTATCATTCTTAAAGTTCATATGCGTTTATTATATTCATTTATTCATTCATTCATTCATACATACATACAAACGGCATCTATCAAAAGTTCCATAACCTAGATTATAGCATTTAGGGGCTAGATGTTGCACTGATTCATTATCCCTCATGTACAGACTCCAAAAAAAAATATAAAAACAATAAAAAATACATTTTACATCATAAATCTGAAGGATTATTCTACAAGTACGAAATGCATGGATTATGGAATGGCCGCTTTTGCTTTATATTTTGATATATGTAATGAAAAATTATCATCATATAGTCATGAATTAATATTTTTTTCGAAACAATTTGAAAAGTAATAGAATGAAGACTTTTTATGATACATGTACATGAACCTCTAAAATGCTTTCATTTTATGAAACTGAAGATTATCTTGACTCATTACATTTTGATTTAAGAAATCATTTGTATAAATAAGTGTCGTCTCATACATTATATATGTGCAGCTAGTTATGAAATCAATAGAATACCTAGAAACAAATGTTTATGCATTTTGTGTTTTCAATATCATTTAACATCATTAATTAATTTTATTTTATCTGTGTATGTCCGTTTTTCAATGATATCCAACCTGTTTATTATGGTTGTCTTAGCATATATAGACTTATTTGATTGTTAAATTGTTTTGAAAAATATACCATTGTTAAACATATTGATTTATATTATACGCTTATGATTTAAATTGACATCAAATAATTTACACGTTAACGATAAAATATTTAACATGTCAGTTATTTGGTATCAATTTTTACAACATGATAAAATTTCGAGGAATACACATGCTATGGATATAATGTTTAAAGGCTAAATTCTACTTCGATTTTAGAAAATAAAAATTAAGTTATTTCATCAAACGATTAACACTGAGTTTCGTTTAGACATATTGTGACCCGTTTCCAAAAATTATAAATATAGCTAACTGCATATACGAGTGTACAATAGCAGGAAATACTGAACTTAACTTCAATTAAACTTAATTTGTTTTGAATGTTCTTCGCTCTTTACATGAATATTCATCATGGATCTAAGTAATTCTTCAACTTTTCCTTATATCAAAACTAATTTTATTGACGATTAAGCTTCTCCCTTAAAATATTACAGGCTTTTAAATACATCGTACTTGATGTCCAGGTGTACATTAAATCATGAATATGATATTAATGAGAAACTTCTCATCCTATGTAGTCATATGGAGTATATGTTTGACAACTTATAAAAAGTTTTCATAACGCTTGCATAGCGCATCTGTATAGCTATACGTACAGTACTTGAATTAAATGTTGGAAGACCACTGTGAATAATTCTGATAATTGAATATTGGAAAGTAACTAGATTCGGGGCACAATAATTGAATTCTTGGTTTTGCATGACAGAGATGCCTGGTATTATTTGTACGCAACGAAGACATTCATTGGCATAAGAAACGAAAATTGGCCGTATTACGGTAATGAATGATGGCAATTTGACATTTTCAACTACCAAGACTATAGTAATTGTTTATTATGATACCGCTTTATAAATTATTTGACAATAGCCATATTGTGAATGAATCCATCCATCTCCCATGTGTATTGTAATAGAACAATTTCTGAAACAGTGACTGGCGTTATCAAATATACTTTGATTTATCAAGTTAACCTATATTTTTTGGTTCTTCTCAAATTATTGAGATTCATTTGGACCAGTGCTTAGCATTGATCTTTAACATGTATCATAAGTGAAACTATACAAAACGCATCCAGTCTCTTTTTTACCGTTTCCTCTATAAGACAGCAATTTTGCAACGTATTTTGTTTTGAAAGGCTGCATTACCGACATATGATAGCATATGTCAGTTTCCGAACCATTTCGTTTTGAAAACATATGCTTCAAAAGTAATACCTGATCTAAAAGAGGTAGATTCTCGTGTTTTTCTTTTTAATTTCTAAATATAAAAAATTAATAAGTTTCTTAATTACAAACATAACAATCTTGAATAAGTATTAATTATTCATTTTTTCGCTCAATGTTGGAAAGAAATGAGCTATTTTTCTGTATTTTTGCAGTTTCAATGTTCACACTATGAACAAAACATTGGCTATTTTAAACATTATTATCTTATTTTCTATAAATTATTTTTTAATGATTATAAATGTAGAAATGTTATAATCATTTTCTTTAGCTTAAACGATAATTAATGTAAGATAAAATCTTGTTGGGTTTATTAAGACTTCATTAACATTTTGTCTTTGTAAAGAAAACATGGAATAACGGATCAATGCCACCATATAATGAAAAGAAAGCTTCGGAACTTGTAAAATAAATAAAGTACATTGCGAGTGCAAGAGTGTGTGAGTAAGTGAGTAAGAGAGTTAGTCAGGAGTGAGAAAGTGCTTGTGTAAGTGCGTACTTGTGTGTATTTTAGGTTTGTTTACCCTTGCCACATGAATAATTACCATGTGGGCAAGCAATATATCAGATGTCTCGTACCATTTGTTTTTTTCAGTTTGTTCATGACAGCTGTAATTCTAATAAATATATCGTATGCTAAAAGTTGAATTCTAATTGATGTTATCCGCCTTAACCATAGTAAGGTATTACTCTTAAGTTAAAATTTAATAGTCAATGTTACACAAGAGAGCGTAGTCTAAATTTAGGAACGACATTGTAAATTAGTTTTTAAGTTTGAAATGTTTTATTTTGGGCATTTGCGATTGAAAATGTCAACCTATATTAGCCAGCATAAAATATCATTTAAACGGCATTTCTATCCAGAAGGAAATATATTGCATTTAATTATTTGTACTATCTAAAATGATAATTTCATTTCTTGTTGTTAAATCGTCTCATGACATTGAATGAATTTATCATCCTATATGTGTTGTCATGCAATACGTACAGCTAAATATAATCCAGAAATCGTGCTTCTAGTGCTTAAAATACTAATATAGACAAACAAAAACATTTACGTTAAAGCACAAAAAAGCCTCCGCTATTGCGTGCGGACCTCGGAAATGTCACTGGCCAATTTTAAGCACCGTGGTATTTGTTTACTATCAGGTTATGTCCATAGAGTATAAGCTAATGTGATGATTTTTATATAGATTCATACTTAAACCAGCAACAATGTTGTTTAAGGAATGTTAAGAGACGTACCTTGTCCCATAGAGTAAACATGTTCGAGGGTTCATAAACAAACTGATTTACAATTACTAACATTACAAAAATGCTCAGTTTTTATTGCTTATAATTATATTATCACCCTTAAACAGCTTAATATTATAGTAAAATTTGTCAATGCAGGTCAAGGTCAGCCTACATATCAATTTATTCTAACATATCAATCTATGTCGAAAGTATCCATTTGGTATCTATCAAAGAGCGTTGAAAAAAACAACGCATAAATATTGTTAATAACGTTTTGTGAACAAATGTATACCATGATATATTTATAATTATTGAAACCCCTAGTGAAAAGTTCTTAGTATGTTATAAAGCAAAGCTTTGTAAAATTAAATTTTGACAATGGATGCCTGTTCTTACAGGATCAAAACTTCAAAACTAGTACTCCTATATTACTTTCCTCTTATTAAGAATTAATTTCGCCATTTCTTAAATCCATTTCATCAAAATTGGACCGTCAAATTGTTTTTTATGATCACAAGTTATTGCTGACAAAAGCTGTGTAAAGAAAATATAAACAAACGCAGAACACCAATGGAAATCAATTACTTTAACTCCATAAAATGTCCTCTTCAAGATGGTTTTGTATGCCATTGTATTAATATCATATACACTTGAACACTTTTATGTAATTT